GATATAGATATATATAGAGATATATAGATATATAGATATATAGATAGATATATAGATAGATATATAGATAGATAGATATAGATAGATAGATATACAGATATATAGATATATAGATATAGATATATATAGATATATATAGATAACGTATCATTGTGTCCGAATGAAGAAGTGTAATATATTAGTGGCCAGACCCTGTAACCTACAGACAAGAGGTACAAAACCTGTCTGAATATGTACTTACCAGTGGTGACGCCAGGAGGCGCTGCCGTGGACAGGCAGATGCCGTATGGCGATTCCAGACCCTCCACCAGGACAGTCTTGGTCAAGTCTGACTTGGATAACCTGGGGGATTGAAACAGAGCAATTTATTGTGTCTGTTCAACTATGGATATATGTATTTATGCATACGCCTAAATTATATCCATATGTATGTATGTATGTATGTATGTGTGTGTGCGTGTGTGTGTGCGTGCGGGTGTGTGCGTGTGTATGTCTGTGTGTGTGTGTTTCTATGTGTGTGTGTGTGTGTGTGTGTGTGTTTGTATACCTGTCGGTGTCTATATGTGCGTGCGTGTGTCCACATGCATATTCTGTGTATGTGTATGTGTGTGCGTGTGTGTTTGTGTGTGTGTGTGTGTGTGTGTAGTGTGTGTGTGTGTGTGTGCGTGTGTGTGTGTAGTGTGTGTGCGTGTGTGTGTGTATGTGTGTGTGTGTAGTGTGTGTGTGTACTGTGTGTGTGTGTGTCTGTCTGCGTGTCTTTGTACAATGACGGTTTTCGTACAATAAATCCTATCCTAGCAATAGTATTCTTACTACAATGTAATAATATGTTTGTTCATTTATTTCACCAGGAAAAGACATATTAAATACTGGTGTTTATTTGATTTTTTTTTAATTTATCAATCTCAAAGACGGCTGGGTAACCCCATTCATCCTACACTGGCTGTTTTTCAAGGCTGCTTTTCAGCTTGTTACAGGGCAATGTTAGATACTGTACAATACAAAGAACAACATACAGTAGACATACAAACATATAGGTCCGATCGATGCGTCGAAAACAAAATCATGAACTAATTCGCAACGTCCTAGCTGATCCATTGTCAAAAAAAAGTTCGGAAGTGGAGGCCAGAAGTCAGGTTGCATACGACATACGTTTCAGAGCTGCTTTAAACTGTGAGAGAGTTGGTACATGTCTTAAATCAGCTGAAAGTGTGTTGTGTCTTCAAATAACTTGTCACTGATGAAAGAATCTACTAGTAACTGTATCTATACGTGACAAATGAGTCTCTTCAACGATACAAGAAACTACATTGAATTTAGTGAGGAAAAATTCCTTCATGATCTGACCCAGGTGCCGAGGCACGTAAGATAAATAATGCTGTTTTCAGCTGCGCGTAAAGCCGTTTAGGTCATACTCCGTGAATAAAATGCGTAACAACGCGGGTTTACAGGAGAAACATACAAATGACCGCCGGTAACCCCGAATTCGAACTCGCGTTCTATTCGAATGACGTCATATCGAACATGGTGGAACATGATTCGGGTTCGAAACATGTATGTGGCAATCGTGCAGACACATGCCCGAACTCGAACATGAATATCAGCCTAGGCCGCCTTAAGGTTCCGGGTCGGAGTTTAAGTCTGACCAGAGTCTAAGTAAGTGCGCAGTAAATCGCCGGAAACGTGACTTTGAATGGTATGTTTTGGCCGCGATATCCCTGAAATCGTAATATCTGTGTACATATATGTGTATTTTCTGAAAAGCCTGTTAGTTGTAGCCTTTATAGGTGGCGTAATGTTGGTGGTCCAGCGAAGACTTCCTGGCATTAGTCCGCGCGGATGATTATGTGGCGTTTTCGCCTGACCGCCGGGATGGTACGTTCTATATGCGTTGTGGGTGTGTTCGGGCCATCGAAGATAGCGATAAACTTATCGCATCGATTTTGATTAAATTCAAATTTTGGAAACACTAGGTTCTGAGCTTCTTCGAGTACTAAGCCGTTACCCTGGGAAAATTCGTTTTTTCCATGCAGCCATGGTTAAAAATGACGAAAAAAATGACCCCTTATTTAAAAATGTACTTTGATGTGCCTTATTTACCCCTAAATAAATTGGGCGCAGAAAATGTCAATGAAGTGTATTGATAAGCGGCGCGGCACCCCTTTCCACCAAAAGAGTGAAAAATTCCGACCCGCGTTTAGTACAGAAATGACAGCCCGTCAGGCTGAGGGTGTCAAATTGCTCGAAATACGGAAGGAAACTCCGGTCCGAGACCTTAACCCAACCGAGTAAGTCATGAATAGGAAAGTTCTTTCTATCACAACCATTCATTTTTCAAGCCAACGTCTCGATGACCTTCTGTCATCTTCATCAGGGCAATACTGACTGGTTTACTGTGCACTGACACTAGATGTTGCTTGGTGCATAATGCACTAAAGGTGTTACATAGTTCATAGTGCACTTAAGCTAGTTTTGTCTGTTTACAATGTATTCCGGAACGTAGTGTAATTGTGACATAGATACTACTATTACTAGGAATTGTTACATCACAGGGAAATGTGCGGTTCCAAATGTTAAGTGTTTCTATCTATAATGAAAGATTTGTTAACTGGCAATACTGAGCTACTAGAATCAAAGTCCCAAATAGAAATTATTAAAAGTCTTGTTACATGTGTATTGTTAGGAATCATGATAATTACAAACAATAAGAAAACCAATGTCAGTTATTAAGAATGTAATCCCAAACATCACTAAGTTTATACCCCCCCCTCATCACGGTTCATGACTTGATTGGATTTTCTAATCCACACAGACTCCTTAATCCAACGGATACATCTGTTGTCCTCTCGGTCTATTACCTTGGCCCCGTCCCAATCTATTACACAGTTATTTCTTGTAATGTGGTCTGTGACTGCTGATTTGTTTTCTTGTTTTTCAGGTTCTTTCTTTCTTGCTCTGGTGTACCTTCCCGTCTTGACGCTGTCTGCCTCTTTCCTATGTTCTTCTAGTCTGACAAAACCAGCTTAAGAACTATGTAACACCTTTAAATTTAGTGCACTATGCACCAAGCAACATCTAGTGTCAGTGCACAGTATACCAGTCAGTTTTGCCCTGATGAAGATGACAGAAGGTCATCGAAACGTTGGCTTGAAAATAAATGGTTGTGATAGAAAGAACTTTGCTATTCAGTCGTTTACAAACCTGATGAAATTATTTACGGATGTAAAACATCAAGTCATGTTTACAAAATAAATCATGTAACTCAATACAATATGGACAAAATAACATGACATCAGCAGGGAGATTTCTACATAAGTGTTTGCTAGATAGATCGGATTTTCTTACTTTCCGACTTTCCCGTGCCATGTCTTTGATGAATCACGCCAAGCAGACGACCAGTAGACGTAGTTCTCGTCAACAGCAATCCCATACACCAACTTCCCGGATTCATACAGCAGTTGTTGGATATCGTTACCCAGCAGGTCTGAGCTGTACATGCGGTCCCCATCAGAGTAGTACAGCCGGCCCTCTAAAGGAGGGAAATAAACAAAGGATTTATGCACCCATCAATCTGAATACTGCAACTGTTGAGTAACACTACAGAGAGGGTAGACGTGCACATAGATAATATCTTACACCAAGGACGTTCAATCATGATTGAACGTCCTTAATTAAACGTAGTACATATTTATTTTAAACCAACCCTGCCCTCATACAATGCAATAAGTCAGGTAACACCGACCTACTAAAGAATGCGTTTCAAAATGTTCCTTCTTGATTAATAATTCTTTTGTGTATAAATAAATATATTTAGTAAATTGTTTCTTGCTGTGTTGTTTCTTACCTCTATAGTCTATTGTAACGGCGCGGGAATCAGTCACGCCCGTGATGATGGTGGTTGGGTTACTGCCGTTCATCGCAGCACGGTAAATTCTGCCATTACCATCGTCCGCCCAGTACATGAGTCTGTGAAAGGAGTCAAGCAAACAAAACGTCTTATCTCCGCCAAACTTTCATACATGTTATTAAATGGTGTTTCCTTGTACAGCGTTATTAGATTATTATTATTACCATAAATGATATAGATTATTCATAATGATAATATAATCCACATAATCCCTACACATCGATGGTCTCTACCTAAAGCACACATATGGCAAACCATATGGCAATATGGTCACAACAAAACAGTAACGTGATATTCCAGGAGTCCGGAACACCAGATCAAGATTTATTACCCTCGCCAAGAAGGTTATGTTTTCAGGCGTTCGTGTGTGTGAGTGTGTCTGTAAACAATAACTCGAGAAGGCTTAAATGTATTGTCTTCATATTTGTTAGGCGAATAGGTCTTGATAAGACATGGGAATGATTAGTTTGTAGGCCCCTAGCAACTTGTTGTGGTACTGCAGCGGAACTTCCGGTTTTGATATCTCATGATCTAAAGGTGATAGTTATAGGGTCACGAAATTTTAATTGTAGGTAGGAATTTTGCTGGGGAAGAAGTGACGTAGGTTTGGGCCACCTAGCGGCTTGCTCAGGAACTGCAAGGTTGGTTCTTTAAAAATACTTTATTACATTCGCCAAGAAGGTTATGTTTTCAGTAGGGATTGTTCGTCTGTTTGTCTGTTTGTGAACAGCATTACTCAAAAAGCTTTATATGCATTGTTATGTAACTTAGTAGTTTGGTACGTCTTGGTGAGATCTAAAATGTTTAGATTTTCGGCCCCTTGGCGGCTTTTGTTGGTACTGCAGCAGAACTTCCGGAGCATTTGTTGAAAAATCTACGAAGGAGGATAACTCAAGAACCGGTTAACGGATCGTCGTGATTTTTGGTATGTAGGTAGCTTAAGTGATGCTTAACATAAGTATGCGAGAATTATGCAAATCTGGATATAATTTGTATAATGTATGAGGAAATTCTATAAATCAACTGTATTACATTAACTTAAAGAACTATTCAAGCTTGTGACATATGTAATTGAGAATGAGTGAAACACAGGCAGATATATTTATTATGGAAATAAACACGTATTATGCATAATTAATGAGAAAATGCTAGAATTACATAATGGTAACTGCCTGGAATTTCCTACTTTGGGTATTTGAGAGTTAAGTGAAGGTGAACATCATTAACTGATTCAAATAAGGACCTCATTTCCATAATTTATGACGAAATAATAGAATGGATTTCTTTGGTGAAGAATATGATCAACTGATATAATCCATGCAAATGAGGAGCCTATTTGCATAATCAGGAGGAATAATCTTTATCAGTCATAAAGATTAACCTCATTTGGCGAAGGTATGAGATCGTAGAAGTCTAATTACCAGTAGTATGGTAATGAAAGTTTGCACTATGACGTATTTAAAACGATGGCCTGGTTGAAATGCATCGAATTTACAAACGTTAACGTACACAGCCCTGTCCCCATTTATGTAAAATGCCTGATTTCGAATGTATTTTACTCACCCATTCCTGGGGTCCAGAACCAGGTCATAAGGACTGCTGACGGCTGATGACGTAAGAAGTGTTCTAGTGGACGATCCATTCATATTTGCAACTGAGATGGTGTTTTCATCATAATCAGTCCAGTAGATATCCCCTCTAGCGTGGTCAAACGCCAGGCCGCGGACAGCTGCATAAAAAAAGTGTGGACGTTTTGTAGAAAAATATGTTTGAAAATGCACACGTCAAGAAGATTTTGATATACATACATGTACTATATAATAGAAAATCCTTATATACGGAACAGTTCACATGGCAGTGAACGCAGTAAGATTCCCCAATAATGACGGGGTCACACCAATTACAAATAGGCTCCCAGTCCAACATGAGATATCCTTAACATGTCACAGACAAAACAACTCGTCTAAAATATCCATATAAGGTTTATAGGGGGAAGTCATGTTCACAGTTACTCACTCTAGATTCCTATTTGGAATAACGACCTGTTTTGGATTCAAAATCTCAAATCCGAATTCTTTGAATAAAATATATTTATAAATATAAACAAAACAAAACACAGATGTGAAAAAACAACGACACAGAACTGTATAACTTTTCAGCCATTCTCTAAAACTACATTTGGTTGACAGATAGGATCCGTCCATACCACTGCTTTGATTGTAAAATTACACAATTATAAGTATCAAAGTTTAATCACAGTAAAGACAAGCATTGTTGAGATGTAAAGTTTGGAACGAAAGAAAAAAACAGGTACTACGAAGCCTCCACCAGTATTTTAGATTTTCCTAATCAGTTATACAAATGATTCTCCGACGGACTTTTCCAGAGGAACACCGTAAGCACCGCTACCTGTTTTATTTAGAATCTTTGGCGGGTCAGTATGTGTGTGTGTGTGTATGTGTGTGTGTATGTGTGTGTCTGAGTGTGTGTGTGTGTGTGTGTGTGTGTGTGTTTGTGTGTGCGGTTCTCGTATTTCTGACGGACGGACGACACAGTGTGTGCGTGTGTTTGTGTTTGCATGCGGTCCTCGTCATGCAGACAGATGAACGACAAAGTGTGTGTGTGTGTGTGTGTTTGTGTTTGTTCCTCGTCATGCAGACAGATGAACGACAAAGTGTGTGTGTGTGTGTTTGTGTTTGTTCCTCGTCATGCAGACAGATGAACACACAGAGAGTGTGTGTGTGTGTGTGTGTTTGTGAGTGAGTGTCTGTGTGTGTGTGTGTGTGTGCGTGCTTTTGTGCGTGCGTGCGTGCGTGCGTGTGTGTGTAAATCTAAATGTTAAATAACGTGAACCTAGACAATGAGAAAATTAGCCGGGTCCTTACATCTGCTTGAGGTATATTTTGATACATATCTTCTTTGTCAGACCATACATTATCATGTAGTGTTGCGTTTTGCAATAGTTGTCTCCAATTGCCATAAAGACATGATAATATGATATTTTAACTCACTGCTGATGTCTAAGATGGCCTCCCTGCCACTTCCATCACGACGAGCCCGGTGGATTTTGTCGTTCCGGTCATCTGCCCAGTACACGTAGTCCGTGAGCGGGTCGTAGCCCGGGGCGGCGGGCTGTCCTACATCTCCGAGCGGAAGCGTGGTGGTCGATCCGGAAGTGATGTTAACTTGAAGAATGGTTTCTCCATCATAGTCAGCTACCAATAGGAATGGCTCGCTGATGTGACTGGAGCCGGGGTCTCCTAAGGTGGAGAAAATATCCAAAGTATTAAAAAAAACAGATTTTTCCGAACAATCGTGTCATGTCTTGAATTATCATCTTCTTTCGTACTTTCAAAAACTATTTGCTCATTTATAACGATCGCCAGGCGAAAGGAAGTAAAATATGGCGTGGCAATTACGGTGATTTACTGCCACTATTTGGAACTCCGACCCGGAACCTTCCGATCTCCGCCAGGCAGATTCACAATGGAGCAATTAGAAGACTATCGTATTTTCAGACATCGCTTTTCTCAAAACAGTTATAACGGAAAAAATCTGCTCTGGACTTTAGCTATGGATATGTGTTGTTTTCGTGGATTCGCTGCTGCATACTTGCAGAACACCTTCTTAAAGTTGGTATTGACGACGTCAGGCAGTGACGTCACCTGTTCCCCTGGGAAAAAAGCATGGGTCGCATTTTGGGCTCGTAGCTTTAAAGTGAAAGGAATGATATGTCGGATTTTGGTCTTGAATGATAGACTGATGACAGAATGATAGAATGATGAGTTGGCACTTCCCGAATTAATGTAGTTTGCCATACATTGTACCATGTTCAATTGCCGTGCAATAAAGTTATTTCGTTTACGTCCGCCGTCTTGAATTTATGTAATCCGGGTGCTGATTGGCTTGTGCCAAATAAGGCAAGCTCATTGATATGTAGAGCCACGTCACCCTGGAGTAAGTTTGTGTGGCCAGAATGGCAGGGTCGGTTGCAGAGGTATAGAATACCACGCCACCGACCGTGCCTCGGGAGGATGATTAGGCACAACGCTACACAACTGTGTGAAACACCGAATTCTTACGCAGGACCAAACACAACCTTGTTGATGCTGTCGTAGCTAGGAGCGAGCAGTTATAAAAAGTGCTACAAAGACGTGTGGAGTACTTACTAGGCTATCTCTGCACACCAACCAAAGAAAAGAAGACCGTGATAGCAAAGAGCCTTAATCCGATCAGGTTTCAAACTCGGAATATTAAGTTTCGTCTGAAGTGGGCTTTAAGAAATGTAATTTGGGCATAAAAACTCTAAAAGTATATATAAGTCAAGTTCAGATGTCGTCTGACATCATAAAACGCAGCACTGTTTGAAAAGTCAGATTTCCTCATGTTTCCAAGCTTGGACACGTTGGTGAAAGCTGACGTGTCCTTGCCGTGTACTCGAGAAACCAAAGTACCAAACTCAATACCTACTGCAAAATAAAAACACAATTCTGTACGGAAAACTACTAGTATCTCTTATCAATCCGAAACAAATCATTCAAAACATCATAACAAAACTTAGGATTAGTGCCCACTCTCTGTAAATTGAAAAAGGTAGCGACAGTAACACACCAGCCAATGAGAGACTGTGTCTTACATGCCATAAAGACGTTGAAAACGAATTCCATTTTAGATTGTCTAACTTATGATGTAGACAAATAAAATTATTACAGTATATTGCATGTAAGACCGATGTAACGCTACCTCATACAAAGATAGCATGGGACCGCGCCCTTTTTGTCCGACGACGTCTCTGCATACCTCATACGCTCATATGATTTCCAGTAGAGACCACGCCCTTTGTCAGAAAACTTCACGCTCGTCGTCAATCAACATGAGTTTTCAGTAGAGACCGTGCCCTTTAATAGACAACATACCTGATCGCGAGTGCTTCACGCTCGCCGGCAATCATATGATTACCAATAGAGACCGTGCCCTTTGTCAGACAACGTACCTTGATACTTCACGCTCGTCGGCAATCAACATGACTTTTCAATAGAGACCGCATCGCTTTGTCAGACAACCTACCTGGCTATAAAACAGGAGAATAAAGTTGTTGAGGTCAGTCGTTACTCCGCCCAAACCTGAAAACGACAGCTATGGATCTGTATCCTCCGTGCATCTTGTGTCGGGAATTAGTTCGACCGAAACAAGAGGCCTTGCATGCACATTAGGCTAGTCTTACTCCAAAATACTCTGAAATGTTGCCATCAACCGTAGAACGTCCTTGCATCAACACATAATGCAGTTTACCTGAGTGTGTAATGTTTTCAACTTCGTGTTCTCTAATGTTCCAGAAAATTATATATAAACAAGGAAGTTAAACCTCCCTTATAAAACAACAAACAAGGTATATAAGACTCGTCTCGTCTCTGACCATGACACCACAATACACATTTGACCACAATGCACAGGTAATTACCCGTGCATATTTTGTCTATTCTAAAAATTACTTTTACACAACAGTGGGCTGATATTTGAAAAACACTGAGCTCGACTTTGGAGACGACATAGCTGCATTGGCTAACAGTTGTGTTGGTCTCCAAAATTTTACAGACAGACTTGCTACCACAGGGGAGAAACTTGGGCTCAGAGTGAGTGGTGACAAAACAAAAGCAATGACATCTATTGTAAACCCTTCACCACTATTGCTTGACAACAAACAATGTGATTATGTGGATAGTTTTACATATCTAGGCAGTATTATTACTATGGGTGGGGGTACAGAAGAGGATATTAAAAGTCGGCTAGGAAAAGCTACCGGAATGTGACAGCGTCAAAGAAAAATGTGGCGCTCCAAGCAAATTAGCATTCCGCTAAAGATGAAGCTTTTCCAGTCCATTGTGGTACCAACTGCTATATATGCATGTAAGTCCTGGAGAAGCACCCAAGAGACAGTGCAAATGTTAGACACTTTCCAGCGTAGATGACTCAGAACTATCCTTGGCATCTCCTGGCGTGACCACGTATCAAATGCGGAGCTCATGCAAAGAGCAAAGGTCCCACCCCTCAGTGCGATTAAAATGAAAAGGAGATTGAGCTTCGCTGGACATGTGTAGAGACTCCCTGATCTCAGAACCACAAAAACAGCTCTAACATGGAAGCCAGAAAGCAAGGAGTCGACCTATGCAACAAGGCTGCGGAAGGAACTAAGGTCTAAGGTAAGAAGCCGGTCCCCCTCACCACCAACGAAAATGACTATGTTTGCAAAGGTGAAATATGTCAAGGTCGAGGTTCCCAATAGTAGTTTGGTAAAATTCTGATTAGTAAATGTGTTGTTTTCTTCCCATGAAAAAATAGTACTGCAGATCCAATATGGTGCCTTAATAGTGCAGGGAGCCGAAAGACCACACAAAAAAATCTGCTCATTTTTCATAGCAAGGGTTATACTTACTAATATAAACTTAGGGATACACTTAGACCCCATTCATACCAATGACGTTATATTAGAACCTTGTTGAAGCTCCGTGTTCATATAAATCACTGAATGACTAGAAAACTTTGATAAACATTCACCCAATAGTAGTTTGCTAGACATTCCGTTTACTACAAATAAGTTCTTGATGGTTTAAAACAATTAAAATCTGGAAAAGCCTGTGGAATAGATTCTATTTCTAACGACATGCCAAAACACGTAACATACTCAAGACTAGAGTTCCACGATCTCATACCTTTGACAAATGATGTTAGTCTTTATGACTAAGAAATTATAGATTAATCCCACTGATTGTGAAAATAGGATTCTATATTGCATCAATTATATCTGTTAATCACATTCTACACCAGAAGACAGTCTTATCTTATCAAAGAATGTCATTATAGCATTTCCTCATAAAATTATGCAAATGAGGTCCTTATTTGAATAAGTTATGTTTAATTATGTTCACCTTCACATAACTTTCAAATATCCCAAGTATGAAATTTACAGGCAGTTACCACTATGTAATCATAACATTTTCTCATTAATTATGCAAATTAAGTCTTTATTTGCATAATCGGTATCTGCCTGCATTCCTGCCGTTCTCTATTACATATGTCACAAGCTTGAATAATCCTCTCATGGAATGCAGCTGATTTATAGAATTTCCTCATTAATTATGCAAATAACATTTATATATGCATAATTGTAATATTATTAAGTTAAGCATAACTTTAGCTACCAACATACCAAAAATTACGACGATCCATTAATCGGTTCTTGAGTTATCAGCCTTTAAACATTTTTTAACTAACGCCCCTGCAGTTCCAGAGCAAGCCGCTAAGGAGCCCAAACGTCACTTCTTTCCCAGCAGAAGAGCTACTTACCATCCAAATTTCGTTTCTCTAGCATGTCTAGATCACGAGATATCAAAACCGGAAGTTCAGCTGCAGTACCATAAGAAGCGGCTAGGGGGCCCAAAATCTAATCAGTTCCACATCTCATGAAGACCTATCCACCTACCAAATATCAAGACAATTCATTTTGGCCTTCTTGAGTTATCGTGCCGACACACACACACACACACACACACACACACACACACACACACACACAGACACACGAACGCCCCTGAAAACATAACCTTCTCGGCGAAGGTAACAATTATGTTTATCATTGGTAATCCATTTTAATGACAATACAACTTTTAATACCATTCTCGCCGAAGGCACTTTTCCGTCTATTTGGAATACAAGCATCCTAACTCCAATTTTCAAATCACGTGACAAGTCCTTCGTTTATAATTACAGAGGAATCGCTCTATCTAGTTGTCTGTCGAAATTGGCCACTCGTCTTTTGAATACCAGACTACAAAACTTTATAGAAAACAATAATCTGTTAGCCGAAACACAGTTTGGTTTTAGAAAGAAGAACCGAACCGCCGACAATGTCTTTATTCTAAAATTCCTTATTGAAAAATATGCACAAAAAGGTAAACTGTTTGTTTTGTTGATATGAAAAAGCTTTTGACTCCGTGTGGCGTGATGGATTGTTCTACAAATTGTTAAAATATGGCATCGGGAGAAACTTTTTTAATTTACTGAAATCTATGTACTACTAGATCGATACCACTTTATATATAT